GGATAGCTCGTTTGAAATGGAAGCCTACGACTAAGCTTATTGCTTATGTCATTAGCGTATCTTTAGTGTTTCACTCAAGTATTGGCCGAACCGACGAGGATTTCCCGAAATTGCTTTAAAAATCCAAGGTATGTCATGCGTATGCGCTTGAAAAAACTTGTCCGACCTTTCGAATGACTATTTGCTTGAGGACAAGCAAAGGTTTAAGTATGGGGGAATTTGATAACGAGAAATCGTATCATATAATTACTACACTTTTTTACCGATTTTATAATACATTAAGTCGTCTAACTCCCGATTATTCTGAGTTTATTTGTCTTTTTGCAGATATAACAATTGTCAACTCAAACCAATGGAAAAGGACTACATGAAGGAGGCTAGACAATAAACAAATAGAAAAACAACTAAATCTGCAAAGTTTGGAGATTTTGGAGCAGTGACGACCGTCACACCCTCGTGACAGGCGTAACGACCCTCAACTTGAAATGACGCTCGTCACACATCACTGACGAGCGTAATGCGCTATTTAAGCGCATTACGATTGTCACCCACCTGTCACGACCGTCACGCGCGTAAAGATGAACGTTGTGAATTGGTGGAGACGTGGGCAACGTAAGGGCAGACTTGTTCTCCTATTTTCCCTCCACTCAATAACCATGCTCCCTATATTTCCTCCACTCAAGCCTTTTCTCAAGATACTTTCAACTGCTATTTTCTCTCCTATATATATGTGTGATAGTGCAAGGCTGCAGGGGTCGAAGGAATTCTCCTAGAACAAAATTATTACTTTTGCAATTATTTTTATTTCCTTGTTTTAGAGCATTTTCCACGTACTATAATTCCTACTTCCAGCATTATTTCAAGCTTTAGTTTTTAGGTGTTAATTCTTCATTCAAGAATTAACACAATTTATTTACTTCAATCAAGCCGCAAGGGATATTGTAACATTTCAAGATTACCATAGCAACGTTATTTCCAGGTTTTTATTGCAATTAATATTTATTCATTTTTGTATTATGCCAATTATTTTTATGAATTATATTTTGAATTGCATTGTTGTTAAACCTATTATGTCCGGCTAAATTATTCGTACCGGTATGTGACTCTTAAGAACCGAAAGAATTCAGTGATACCTTGGCCAAAAATATTTATTTATAAAATAATTTCTGGTTTCCAATTTCCATGCTTAATTTAACTACCCTTGTCACGAGAGTGAGAGGTTAATTAACACGATTTTGCCACGAGAGTGGGAAATTAATTAAGGCAAGACTGCATGCGAGAGATGGGGTTCAACCCAGATAGTGGTAACGAAACATTAATTTTTAAATACACGAGAGTGTTTTAATAAATTAATTAAACTCAAATTGTTTTCAAAAAGTGTTATTAAATTTAAAGTGCATCCACTAGGTTTAGTAGCATAACTTATTTCATGAACACGAGAGTGTATGTCTCAGGTTTTTAAACAATTAGTTTTTACCGAAATACTTTATAGGCCAAGCGATTCGCCGAATTCCCGAAGTCCGACTATCACATACCGATATAACTATTACTATTATTTTTAATTAAACTGTTTCCCCCCTAAAATCGAATATTCATCGCTTAGTTAAACAAACTGTAGCATTAGATCGTATGCGATTGATCCTCAGTCTCTGTGGGTTCGATAATCATTTAAAACTATAACGACTGAACTGTATACTTGCAGTTAGTATCCCGACAAACACATAAAGTCTACCGATCAACCCCAAAGCCTGGAAGTAAAGTGGTTCCTCCCTCTAGCAAAAGAAAAACTAGATCCGGTAGCTCCACAGATGATGATGATGCTGTAAAGAGATCTAAGAGCAACAAGAAAGTTGTGTTAGTTGAAGAAGCTAACTCTGATTATGTTGTCAAGGAAGATGTCCAGGACATCTCTCCTGTGAAAAAGTATCCAAGCAAGAAGCTCTCTAATAGGGTACCTGATGCCCCTCTTGATAGCATTTCCTTCCATTCTGTTGGGAATGCTGAAAAGTGGAAGTATGTATTTCAAAGAAGAATTGCCATTGAAAGAGAATTGGGAGTTGGTGCACTGGAGTGCAAAGAAATTATGGAACCGATGTCTTCTGCTAGATTGATGAAAACTGTTACCAGGTTTTGCAAATACTATGAGACTCTTGTTAAGGAATTTATTGTTAATATTCCTATTGACTGTGCTGGTCATAAAAGTAAGGAGTATAGAAAGATTTTTATTAGAGGTAATTGTGTAGACTTTTCCCTACTATCATAAATAGGTTTCTGGATAGGTCTAAAGATGACTAATGTGAACTGGAAGTAACTGATAATCAAGTATGCAAAGCCATCACTGCTAACCAAGTGAGTGAGTAGCCCATGAAGAATAAACTTCTTGTTAGCAAGCTAAGTGTGAAATATGCTATCTTGCATAGAATTAGAGTTGCTAATTGGGTTCCTACTAATCATACTTCAACCATCACTATTGGCTTAAGAAAGTTTATTTATGCTGTTGGAAATAAGAAACTGTTTGACTTTAGTTCTTACATTTTTTATCAGACTATTAAGCATGCAGGAACATGTTCCATTAAGATGCCTATTACCTTTCCTTCCTTTATCTGTTGAATTATTCTTAATCAGCATCTTGGAATTCTAAGTGGTAATGATGTATTATGCAAGAGGGAGTCTGCTTTGACCCTTCACTTCAAGATTTTTTCCGGAAAACATGTCTCAAACATTGTTTTCACATCTGCATATGCTGAAAACAAGACCTCCACCAAGGATGACATGATCATTGAATTAAGGGAAGCCTGGAAAGAATTAGATAATGTGATCAGAGTTAGCTCAGCAAAAAAGCTAACTTTTGAAAAGATGATCAAGGAGCCGCAGAAGGACAATAACTTTGATGATAGAGTGAGTTCTAAAGAAGGAGATTCTAGTGAGGAAGGAAGTTCTGGCTCTGCCAAGTCTACTGGTCCTGAAGACTGTTTAACTATTTTCTATTTGTTTGTTTGACCAATTTGGTTATATTTGGAACTTGTATGTTCTTGACTTTTGAATTCTAAGGTATGTACCTGTATTACTGATACTCTCTTAAATGCATCCTTTTATTTGGCATATTATGACTAAAAAGGGGAGGAGAAACTTACTGACTGACCACTGACTGAGGGGGGGCTTAATAATTGAGGGGGAGCCTCATGTGTCAGAAGATGTTCTGACATCTTCCTTTGCTAACAGCTAACTGCTAATTGAGTTTTTGTTTTTACTTGCTTTGCTTATGCTGCTGCTCTGATAATGCTCAAATAATGTTTTAGCCAAAATTTTCCAAAGGGGGAGTTTGTAAGTGTTTGTTGGCAGCAATTTTGGTAAAATAATGTTTTGATTATGTTTTTCTAAATGTATTGACATCTGAAGCAAATTGTTTTGAATGATGTCAAAGCAGGTGTCTTGACATCTTCCTCCTGAACTGAATGCAACTCATATCAGTTTAAGTTTTTTGTTTCTTGTTTTCATGCGTGCCATAATTCAAGATTTGTGACTCATAGGCTGCGAAAAATATGGAGGAATATTTTCTATTTGAATTATCCTTATGGATTATATCTTGGCCTGTTTTCATGGAAATATTCAAAGATTGGAATATTTGTTTTTCATCCCAAGCCCACTGTTGTGCCTTTATAAGGACTTGCTTCCTTATGCATTGTAGAGCAACATTTAAAGAAGAATACTTTCTTTCTGTTTTAGAAGCCTAAGTATTTTAATTGTCATACACTCTAGTATTGAGTAAATACTTGAGTTATTATTTGAGTTGTTAATTGTAGATCATTCATAAGCTTTTAAGCATTCAATGATTGAGGTCTTTAAAACTTGCTATTTTAGTTGTTCTTCACTGTAAGTGATTGAAGGGATTTGAGGAGGGCCTCATACCTAGGTGTGTCTTAGGTAGAAGTATAGAGCGAGTAATGATTAAGTGATTAGATCGTAAATTGGTTGTTTACTGAGGGTATATGAATTGATACTATTTAGTGGACTTGTCCCTGGCTTGGTAGCCCCTAGAGTAGGTGTTGTTGTACACTGAACTGGGTTAACAATCCCTTGTGTTTTTACTATTTTTACTTTTGTTATATTTTACATTGTCCTCAGATATTTGTGTCGCGACATCTCTTTTGACATAACATATCTGATACCAGAATTTAAATTTATTTAATTTTGAGTTGACTAATGGTCAACTAGGGTTGAAACCCTATTTTGCAGCGGCGCCCAAGATTGTGTCTTCTTCCCTAATTCATTCACAAGGCCCAGATCCAAAAGACGCTCACGAATCAAATCAACACAAAATGGAAGAGTGCAAATCAAAATTTTATTTTATTAGTTTGAATCTATATACAATTTCATCCAAGTTCATAATCAAACCCTAATTCTAGTTTACAATCAAATCTTCCAAAATTATAATCTAATCCTAATTTGATTCTAATTGAATCAATCATCCAAGTCACAGAACAAGTAACTGTAAATCATACAAATTTTTCTAATCTAATCTAATTCTAAAGCCTATAAAACCTAAGAACTAATATATAAAAGGGACGTATTTTTTAGCACTGAGAAACCCTTGGAGATTTCATGAAACTTGATATGAATCCCCACCCCTCACTAGAGCTTTTCAATCAACAAGGACTAGGGCTTCACAACTGAAACCTAGCTTCTTCGAGCTTAGCCCCAATTCCAGCCAAGTACTTGCAAACAAGAAGAAAAGAAAAGGGATTAGAAGAAGAACAGAGAGATCAGAAGGCGGAATCAAAACAAGAATCCAAAGGGGAATTAACAAAAAAAAATCATTGTGGTCCAGGTTGGTGAATACGTAACTCAATATAACTTGTCGTGATTGTGGGGTTGTTTGCATAAATTGCTGAAAGTGGGAAATTTGGATCTAGGGATCTAAAATAGGTTGGGGTTTAGTATTAGGTTTCATATTATTTGTGGTGTTCTGGGTTCTAGATTTGTTGTTATAGGATGAAGACATGGTTTTTTCGGTTGATCTTCAACCAGAAACGGCCAATTCGCGGCGGTCTTATGGTGGTAGGCGGTGGTTGGTTTGGAGAAAGAGGGAGCTTGTTGGAGATATTGGAGAGCAAATGATAAGAGAAGAGGGAGGAAAATATAATGAAAATGAATGTTGTATGGAAGAAAACGAGGATATACCCTCCCGCTGCCTCTTTGGATTGGCAACATGTGGCCATTCACTGGCCATGGGATGGAATTATTTCATATGATTCAATGCACTCTAGTACACCATACCCACAGTCAACCTCTCATTTTGTTCCTCCGTTATATATAATTTGAATTAACACTCTAGAGCCAGCCTCTGGTAGCCTTTTAATTCAAATCGAACGCTTATCCTCGCGACTAGTGCACCATAACGCCTTAAGCCAGTCACACTAGATTAAACGGATCACAACATTTTTCTCATGGGCCTAAGCCCGTCTCTACTCGAACCCTTAGTTTTTTCCTTTACTTTTTTAACTGCAATTTGCACCCCCCTAGTCATTTGGGCTCCAATTATAGATCCTGGGCTTAAACCTAACGCTAATAGCACCCCAGAAATTACTACTAAACTAAATATACACCCCCTACTTTTGTTTTAATTTAAATAATTCATTTAATATATTTATTTAATTTATTAATTTATTTAATTATTTGTTTTATTTATTTTTATATTATTATATTACATATTTACTATCCTTTTTTCCTCATGGCATTTCTTATCAGAATTGCATTAAAAATTTTGTATATTGATAAATAAATATTAGATTGTTATTGAAAATATCAAATATATTTTTAATAATAATAAAATAGTTATATATTGATTATTTATTAAAAATACTAACTCTCTTTCTATTTATCAAATAATTTTCATCATTCAAAACTCTTTTTTTACATATTGTATCATAAATTCTAAAACAGGTAACCCATCAAATACTAACATTTTTTCTAACTTAACTTAAATTCTACTTATTTTAAAAAAGGATTTTGGATATATTTCTTATTAACTATGAACTGCGTCTACGAATTTGCTATTTTCAAACCCGGACAAGGTTCAAGGAGAATTCAAAATATTTTCGTAATCCATAAAAAAAAACTAACCAAACACTTTTGAACTATGAAATTGGACTCTGATTCTTTGTAAGGAGATATGTAGTTAAGTAGTTAAAACCAAAGCGAGTTCATAACTCAAAAACTAAATATTTTTCTCAACATATAGAAGCATTGACTACCAAATACCCCTTTTACCCTTTGACCTAAAAATGGAGCCCCTTTAGAACAAAGGAGATGAATGGTGCCTAACACCTTCCTTTTGTCTAATAAACTCACGAACTTAGAACCTCTAACAAATTAGGGTGATCTGTTAAATTCTATTCCTTAGGATAAAAATTAATGGTGGCGACTTTTTACTTTTTGCCGATTATGATAAATTCCAGTCAATTTTATAGAACCCTATGGCCTATGCTTAGTGCTCTGTTGGACATTTGATTTGATTTGTGGTTTTTAAACTATTAGACAATTGTACATATTAGAATCTAGAGTACAAACATGCTTTATAAAACAGAAAACTATTTTAATAACAATGTTGAATACATAATTTGACAGAATAACTATAGCATATTTTTCTTACTCATTTCATATTTACTTATTGTATTTTTAACCTTATAGTGTCAAGTTAAATATCATGTGTAACACCTTTATAATCCCACATGTATTTCTTATATAATTTACGAAATAAATCAAGTAAAATCACCATACAAGGATGTCACACTTCATACAAAACGTCATAAAACACTCATGCTCCGTAACACGAGTTATCATCATTATAATAACACCTATTTATAAAATCAACACATCATTTATAAAATCATCACATCGGAATCATCGTCATAATATCATACTTAACTTCTCAAAACTCATAACAGATTAGTCTCATTCCAAAGTGGGAATTGAAATCAATTTGACAATAAAAAGCCCTCGTAAAGTATGTCAATATAAAAGGAATATAACATTCGCAAAACAAAGTTTTTCCCAACCCGATGTTACATATAAGAGCAAGACACCTCTAATTAATGAAAACTAATAAAAATACTCCAAAGCTATCTTCAATTCCCCTACAAGATACTCTTGAGCATCCATGTGTTACCCACATGGAGGAATCATTCAAACAGAAAGGGTGAGTGTAATATGGTGGGAGAACTTACTTTTGGTTTTGTGTTTTATCGCAAATATTACAGATAGCAAGAGTCCCCACCAACTTTTATTTTATCCAATAAAGGAAAGGGTGAAAAGAACAGGAAAGAACAGGAAAGACAAAGTGTTTCCCAACCCGATGTTACATATAAGAGCAAGACACCTCTAATTAACGAAAACTAATAAAAATACTCCAAAGCTATCTTCAATTCCCCTACAAGATACTCTTGAGAATCTGTGTGTTATCCACATGGAGGAATCATTCAAACAGAAAGGGTGAGTGTAATACGGTGGGAGAACTGACTTTTGGTTTTGTGTTTTATCGCAAATGTTATGGATAGCAAGAGTCCCCACCGACTTTTATTTTATCCAATAAAGGAAAGGGTGAAAAGAACAGGAAATACCTTTGAGAATTTTTTGAGTAAAGGGGTAGGTTATGAAAAGGGAAGGTGTTATCACCCTTTTCATCCGTAGTTATCTACGGGCTCTTAATCGCTAGCTCACTTTTGAAAAGGCTTTGTGAATGTGTAAGTTTGAAAATATTTTGAAATTGTCTAAGTTCGACAAACTTTGTAATGATTCTCGTATCGTTGAGAATGTATACAAAGTGTTTGTTTTAAAAATATTTAAAATACAAGTGTTTTGTGTGAAAAATGTTTTTGTTTGTGAGCAAGCGACTATGAGCTATCTACCTGCTCAAAAGTCTTTCACGTTATTTTCCTCTTCCTTTAGATAGTGTTGTCCTATCATTAGTTAGTAGGAAGCCCTATCATTGGATGTTTGAGGGACATGTACGGGTCATCGTACAGTCATAAAAGCAACTCGTAGGGTGCTGTAGCAATTTGTCGTAAGGGACTAAGATCGTCTACTGAAGGCAGCATCGAAGGATCATCGAGGGACTATGATCTTTTAACCGAGGGTCTTTGCTAAAGCGTCCCACGTTCGAGGGACATGACTGTTTTTATCCGAGGCAACAAGTGGGGTCACCCTAGAGGTGCATGTATGAATAGTGTTTTGATTTCAGTTAATTTGTCTTGGATTTATGGTTATCTAGCGTTTTATTTTAGTCTTTTCCATACAATCCTATTAAACTAGTAGTAATAAGGAAAACAATCAATTGTAGAAAAATAAATCTAGACTATTACAGAGCTTCGAGAAAGGGGGGTTACAAACCACAAAATGGGGGAAAAAGTAAAGTAAAACCTAATTTATCTATTACATCCATTAACAGTTACATAATTATGAAATTAATAATGCGAAAATAAATAAACGCGCGGAGATTGTGAAAAAGGGAAAGATATTAAAACCTAAAAAATTCTAAGCTTTAGGAAAAATATTTTGGTGTTTTGTTTAGAAAAATATTTTTTATAGTGTAAAATAATAATTAACCCTAATTCTAATTAGTTTACAAATTAATTAATAAAATAAAATAAAATCAAAGTGTAATTAAATTAAATCATTTTTTACTTATCAAAAATTAAATTAATTAATCAAACCCTAAATCTAATTTTTAGTGATTTTTGTGATTTTTTGATTTAATAAAATTGATTAAAAAGAAAATAATTAATTAAAACAAAAAAAGGAATGGGCCTGTTGTAGAAGAAGATTGGGGGGCGTGAGAAAAGCAAAATTGCTAGGTCCAAACATGTTGGGCCAAATGTCTGTATTTGATTCCATGTAGCTTATTCCAGGAGGTGCATCATAGGGATACCATTAACAACGTTGAATCTGGACCCTTTGAGATATGAAGGTCATGGCATGAGGACGTATGATGCCCGTGCTAACCTACTTTGTACCGGATCTGCAAACAAGAAAACATAAAAACAAAATATACTAGGGGCAAGGCTCGAACCTGTGCCCTGGTATACCAATGCCTTTGAGCGCTTACTTTTACTGTTGGTACGATTGGTTCATCCTGTGTTATAATTGAATAATAAAAACATAACATAAGATAAGTGCTGACATCAGGCAAACAACAAAACGCGTGTGCCTTTGTTTGAAATGGACCAATCATCACGTATCATTTTGCCACGCATACGACCAAAAATGTCAAACCACCGCCCATGATGGTTTCCACCATCTTCTCTGATGAGGAGTTTCTTTGGATCTGCAAAGTACACAAGATTAAAGCATACAAAACATATCATCCCACTTAAAATTTCCTCCTGAGTTCAAATATGGGGTCCGTTTTGGCTGAAACTTTCTGTATCATAGGTTTCGAATGAGAAACCCTAGCACGATTCAAAAATGGTGATCCCGGATTTAGGCGTTCAGGCTTGCATGTTAGGGTTCTATCATGTTCTAAACATGATCGCTAACACATGTAAATATACAACATTAGTCAATAACGCACGAGTTAAGAGATTTCGAATTTTTGAAACCTTACCAACCGATGTGTCTATGTGGGATATTCTGGGCAGATTTGGACGTGCTTATGGATTTGAGGATACTCGTGGGAACCTCAGGAGTGATGTTTGATTACTGTTTGGGTTGAAAAAGGCTGGAACTTTGTATTCAAGTTTGCACCTTTCTTTTGGAATTTTGTATTTTGAAAACCCTAGCTCTTGAGGCAATAGCTCGTGTCCTCTTTGGTCTGAATGTTGTGGTATAAATAGAGGGAGGAAGTGAGGGTAAACCAATATGGAAGAAAATAAAGCATTCATGGTGTTAAGACAAGAATCAAACTACTTAAAAAAATTCCTTTCTTGAGATTTTCCTTGCCTTTTCCATGCTCACACGATTTGGCAAGTTGGCTATGAGTTGTTTGGGCTTTTGAACTGATCCAAAACAAGACTTGCACGCCTAAGCCCATAACCTTCACATTTTACTTGATTTATTTTGAGTTTATTTCAATAAAAATAAATAAAAATAAAATAAAATTTAAGCATGGATGAACTTATAGGTCCTCTAATATGTTATAAACATGTTTGAACCTCAAAAGTTAGGCCCAATAGCCCAAAATCACAAATTTGCTCAATTGAGATTTCATGCATTTCTCAAAATTTTCCCAACTTGCACTGATATAAATCTCTCATTT